TATACGTCAATGTAGCGTCCCACCCACTAGAGGTAGATATTAGGAATATAAATAAATGTAGCTTTCTACCTACTTAAGAGTTATGTTATAAAACCAAAAAACAGCCCCAAACTAACCAAAATAACTATCAATGCAAAGATGTAAACTTACGAGTGACTGAATAGTATCTTCTTTCGCAATTACTGAATCCACCTCTGGTTTGTGGAACTTAAATTTGTGGAGGTAAGTCAAAGTATGTGGTTTACATTAGCACTGTACCTGTTGCGGCACTATTTGATGGGTATACCTGTACGATTGTGTACCTGTATTATTGCATAACTGCATGATCGTATACCTGAAGTAGGGACTGTGATTTTAAGTAATTCACCAGGTGATAAGTGTTGTACCAGGCCACAGCGGTGTAGAATAGTTGAGGATTGGTTTACTTTTTGATTACAGAATGGAACAGAATACCTTAATTTAAGGTAACAATCATTTACAATATTAAATCATGAAAAATCATAAAGAATAAATATTAAGTTACTAAATTATGGCAGGGTGAAATTTAAAACTAAATGTGGTGCTGAAAGGTTTTATTTTAAATCATTTATCGTTTCATTGCCTCACTATGGAGATGAAATATTGGTTGTAAATATCTTACTGGATCATATTATTCAGACTAGAACAAATGAATTGTGCTAACATATTTTATTGACGTGAGTGTGCTGATATGCTGCTATTTGCATAGATAATGATAAATGTATACATACCATAATATGCCTGTATTATGGTATTGGCCGTTCTGTAATGATGTATTTTCAGTTGTAATCACCTGTTGTGAATGTTTAAGCTCCAATAACTTTTAGTGTTACTATTGGTCAATCAGTCACCAGTCCTTTTATTCTATGTCCGATAAGTAATTTAACAATGATTAATATTTTTCTAAACTGATCCTATTCCCTTACATAAATATATAAAGGGACATTAATGATGTGCATTAAATAAGTTGAATTTTACAGTGAAACTGTATGATATATTAATTGATTATCAGTAGTAGAGATATTTTATCCTGTAATAATTCGTCATTCAAGTGAATCATTTTTCACCAACCATCACGCATTACATTATCGCCTAATACGCAGTAAACGAGAAATCTGGAAAACATTTTCAACCTTTTTTTGTCTATTTCAGTTTACAAAAATAATTGTAATTAAAAAAGACTATTGAAGTTTGTAAGTTACACCTAAATAATTTTGAATTTCTTTTGATATTTATCTTGTCGTAATGAAATATTGCAAAATGATTAATGATTTTTTTTCAGTGCTTTCAATCTGTATAATACTTATCGCAAAACTAGAAGATATTATGTTTAATATAAATCTAACTCAAAAAAGCTTTATTTACATTGGAGCTCAATATCTGCTCTGTCTCTCGTGTCTTTAAGATCTCCCATTACCCACACACATTGCTAGACATCTAAAATGAGATTTCCATGTTTCTTGGTGTGTCGAGTTATTGATCAGAGAAAGGGAAGGACATGTTTACCTTAGCTCTGACAGGGTCAATAGCACAAGGCAACTGTCACTGCAATCCCGATAAAATGCATAGTAACTGCTATATAATTGCTAATAGGGAAAACAGCCGTGACGTGGGCTTATCACATTACCTTTCAGGAGAGGTAATTTGCCCGTGTTAATATGCAACACCTCAATGACAGACTAAGATATACTCTGACGAGTTTATAAGCAATGGGTCCTTATCTTATCACAAAATCCAAGTACAATGGATTTTTACGTTGAATCGTAGTTATATCTATAAAGGATTATAGGGGATTGGAGTTTTGTTTAGAGTGAATTAGGAAAGTGAAGCCTGGGAAAGCCCCAAAGATGAATGTCTGGGATACCATCCATTTTGTGACTGATCCGGGTTGGTCTATTTCTCTAATGAGCAAATGAAGTTAGTGTGTATTGGCGGTATCTATAGACAAGTTTCTTATAACTGATATACTTCATTTTTACCCGAATCGGCAAATTAATGATACTTCTGCGGTGGGTGAGTAAAGGGTTTAACTTGTACATCTGTTTAAAATGAAAGAAAGGAAATGAAAGATGAGTGGGTACAGTCAGCTGTAGGGGACAAGAAAGTCAGTCTATTGTGAACTGAAGGAAATGAGAAAATGAGTTTATTTGTTTACTTAGTTGAGTGAGTTAATTAAAATGGCCCATTGACATGAAGAAGAGAGTTTTGCTGAAAAATAAGGCATGAAATTTAGTTCGCTGTGATAGCAATATGGAAAGTGAATGTAAAATATTTGAATTGAGAGGGAAGAGTTAGTTAATTCGATATGAGTTCATGGGAATGTTAAAGTGACTTTGTTGTGAGATTTGAATGGTGAAGAGAAGTAATCGTGAAGTAACAGATGTTTGGGATTTACTTCACTCTGAGCTGCTGGGGATGAGTAAAGGTTAACTATAGTTTAGTGTAATACATGGTTACATATCACACTTGTTGTACAAGGGTTTCCCGTGTTGTTTTCCTTGTTATGGAACCCTCTATCTTACCTGTGTACAGTAGTACCACAGGTATGGACGTGGCCCAGGAGGCTGAAGTGTGATATTCATTGATCAAAAGCCCACGACAAGGAGACACAGCCAATTACACTTGTAGTCATTCTACTTGTACCAACATCCAGGCAAAAGCAATCGATTATCTTGCATGTATTGTACTGTAGCATGGTGCACTATTTTAAGCCTGATATAGGTTTATCGAATTTCCTGGGGGTTAAAAAAACGCTGTGGAATTTGTGGGCTAGATATTGGAATGACATAACACTCTTACTAGAGTGTAATGGTTCCTACACACTTGTAAAAATCATTATATGATCGTATGTCCTAAACACTGGTACATAGAACTAGTGGATATCACTTGCTACACACTCAAACACAAATAAGTGGTAGTGTTTCCTACACGATGTAACACATAACTAGAGTGTAGTGTTTCCTTTCCTTAAAGCATTAATGGTTGTATTCCTTACACAGTAGTACATAGAACTTTTGGATATCATATTCTACACACTGTAACACAAATAAGTGGTAGTGTTTCCTACACACTAAAACACATCACTAGGGAGTAGTATTTCCTACACGCTGTGTTTACTACACACTGGTGAAAAGCATTCAGGAGTTGTATTCCCTACACAGTGGTACATATAACTAGGAGTTAGTATTTCCTACTAGTATTTGCGTACTTCGGTGTACACAAAATTATGTATGTGGTATTTTGTAGTCGATTTAGAAACACTGTTCTAATGGATATATTTCCCCAGTTACCCAATTTCATTTTGGCTGACAAAAACCTTTTGAGCATTGGTTCTTTGCTATTTGTTAAAATGCTGATTAGTATTAGTGACAATATACCAACAGTAATCAAGTATTATGTTATATCAATTTTGATGGCATTTTAAGGTATTTTGTAAATAATTTTCCGTTTTCTGGTTTGAACTCTACATATAGTAGATTAAACACATGGGAACGGATACATACAACCTTAAGCTAATGTGTTTATTTTTAACTTCAAATTTTCATGGACAGCACAGTGTCAATACAATAGGCGGTAAAAGTCAGTTATAAAGTTTGAATTGAGGATTAAATAAGTATTGATTACTCTATACCATAGCACCTATTTGGTCAAAGTATTGCCATAAATAGTATTACAGGTGGTTATGTATTGGAACGTGTAAGTACTATTGACACAGACTGGAGGGGGTGTAGCTGATCTATATAGGTCAGTGATCAAATGCGACCATAATGTGGTCACTCACTAAATAGAAATCATAACAACTCCTGTATATCATATTTGGGTGTTATCCTGAGTAGTAACGAAGGTCTGTGTAGTATGTAGGGTTCCAACATGGCGAACATACTTGGTTGGTGTCAACACAACATCTAGTGCAACTGGAAATTGTAAGTTTTTATTCTGTGTCACAAAGTGTTGTTGGTTTGGAGGGGAGACATATTATTTTCGGACTTTAAAAAGGCGAACTAACTGTCAAACTGACCTTAAATGAAAGCAAAAATATGTCAAATTTTTACATATTTGTGATGAATCAATACATATGTATAGAGTATATTTATTACAAAAGCGTTTTGACATTAACAAACAAGAAAACTACAGCCTAAATTTTAACTGACATATAAGCTTATCACTAACGCTACAAGATATAATTTAGAGATACCAGCCTTTGCTGTCATTTTTCTGTCAATGGATATATCGACAATATAGAATCAATAATGATAGATTGGGATGTTTATATCGACTACTATAGGGGTTGGCTAACACTAGGGGATGTCTTGTCACTCCATGGTCTTTGATGATAATCTGCCAATAACCATGCAAGCTTTATATCATATTTACATGGAAAACACCTGGTTTTATTCTGGGTTTTGATGTTAGCAGAAAAGGGTTGTGAACTTAACTTATATACGTGTCCTTTACTAGAAGTGATATTTTATCAGTAAAAAGCTTCTATCTAATGAGTTTCTACCTTAGAGTCTCAACCTAGCAGTTCTACACTATGACATCTTCTGTGGGTTCCTTCATGGGTGTCCAACTAAAGATTTATATATCAAGGACATGGTGCACCCTGGGATAATTAAGGCCTTCTTTCATATGATTCAACTAAAGGTTTACACAGAGAAAATTCTCAGATTACCTTAGATATTTATGGCCTCATTTGACCCATCGCGGGAGGTAGGATTGTTTAGATTTGTTTGAAGTTATAACAGTCTTATAAGATATGATATACCATGTCACACATATGATGTTTTGAGGAACCCCTAGTTATATTCTGTTTCTATAAATGACTTCCCATAAACTCATATTACCGCTTGTACAATTGTGTGCAGAAAGTCCTGAATACAAATGCTGCGGCTGAGAATGCTGTAAACTTGGTGTGGTTAGTACACCTAGATTCAACTGAGGAAAGTGTTGTTGAGGAAGGTTTTTTATTTATATATTTACAGTAAGGAGGAAAAAGACATTAAGGTGAATATTGCCGTTCCTGAGTTGCCCACATACCAGAAAGAGGAAAAACAACGTAAAACCAAAGAAAAACGGAAGTCAGAACGCCACTTGGTGGTCAAACCGAAATTTGAACCCAAGGATGACCCAGTGGTAGGTAGCACATATATTTCTAACAAAAATATATTACATAAATTGTATATTATGAAATATGACTATGATTTGTTATCTTCATTTCTTTCATGTAGTTCAGGATTAATCTTAGTTGGTATTAGACTTTGAAGATGAAAATAAATTACAGAATGCCTGACAAGGGTTAATTGTTTAGACTGTGTACATGTTAAGACTTTTGAGTTCTATTTATCTACGCTTCGTTCTATGGACATTTTAACTGAAGGGTCAAGGAGTTTGTATATTCATATTAAATGTTTAAGTCCCTTAGTAAACAAAGCATATCATGCTATATAAATGGATGTATTTACTGTAGGTCAACCGTTACCATAATTTTATCTGTAAAAGTCAATTCGATATTCAATCCATATTAGGCAGTACTTAGATACAATGAACAACTTTATGAACCTTAATAATGTCAGTCGGTAATTTATCACCATGGGAACTGAAAATATTACCTTATTAGACTTTATATCCATTACGTATTTTAAAGCAGTTTGTCTACATCATCTAACTGCTATAAAGAGATGACGTCCATTACCTTGAGGTAAAGGTGATAGCATGCAGGGGTTAAAGGTCAAAGCACTAATGATAAAGTTTTTAAAATGTGTAAATACTAAACGCACTACAGAGTTAAGAAGTATGAACATAATTACCATGGAAACCATGCTGTCAAATTATTGAAGTTCTGGTCAAGATTCGTTATTATGCTGGTATGATGAACATTGGAGAAAAGACATTTTCTCAGTGTAGTATTTATTTTGATTCGCTTCCATCTGTCTCGAAAGCTTAGATTTTGTAAGATGCTAAGTTGAATTCTTTACAAGGATTAATTCACTGTTGTATTTTAAATGTTGATTTTTAAGGATATTAGATATAAAAAATGTAGTAAATATGATATATTGTGATATATATATATATATATATATTGGTGAAAGGATAAATGAACATCAGTATAAATTATTTGTTTTGCAGGACGTGTTAGATGAGGAGTTGAAGGCACGTGTCCGTGAATTTGATTGGTCAAATATGGAGATGACTGGTTCCGAGGAATCCCCGAGGGTATGTTTGACATTAGGGAAATATCAGGATATATCATATATTACGATATTCCTCGAGTTTTGTCGGACATTACGTAATCCTGAGGGAATGGGGTATATCAGACATTTCGGAACCCTTGCGGGTGTGTCAGACATAGGGAATCTCCAAGGGGATGGCAGACAGGGAATCACCGAGGGTATGTCAGGGAATCACCAGGGGTATGTCAGACAAAGAAACACCAGGGGTATGTCAGACATTTTTAGAGTGTATGTGGTCTCGTTACATTCAGTCACAGTTTTGTTAGGTATATTTCCGGAGTATTCAGGTTTATGTAGATTTTTATAGTATATGTGGTCTCGTTACATTCAGTCACAGTTTTTTAAGGTATATTTCCGGAGAATTCAGGTTTATGTAGATTTTTATAGTATATGTGGTCTCGTTACATTCAGTCACAGTTTTTTAAGGTATATTTCCGAAGTAGTCAGGTTTATGTAGATTTTTATAGTATATGTGGTCTCGTTACATTCAGTCACAGTTTTTTAAGGTATATTTCCGAAGTAGTCAGGTTTATGTTGATTTTTATAGTATATGTGGTCTCGTTACTTTCAGTCACAGTTTTTTAAGGTATATTTCCGGAGAATTCAGGTTTCAGGTATACCTCGATTTGTAAGTTTGCTTCCACAAATATAAGGAAATCGTTTATTTTTTATGCGGATAAAAGTTTGGTTTATCAAGAATCTCAACTGTCCATGAGAGATCAGATTCATATACTTTGAGGTCTCGTGCAGAATTTTGAAGAATGCTGATCTTGGTATCTCTTTTTGATATGTAAATTTGAACATTAATATTTTTGGTGCAGAAAAAATGTCCTCGGATAAAAAAAAAACTTGTTGGAATAATAAATCCTATTTATATAGTCATTCTGAAGACAGTTTCTACACAAACGTTAATACCTTCAACGGTTGAAAACACATAGAAGGATGATGAAATGTTATTGTCAACGAACTACAGGGATCGATCATTGATGATCTTACTAATCAGGTTCTTGAATCATCTTCCACTTAATTGGAGTACATAAATTCAAATAAAAGTGTGACTTATTGATAAATATTATATTTCTTTGTGTGATATAAAGCTGGACGTGTTTGATGCTCGTTAGTTTGCCTGTTGTTTCCGTTGTTTTATATGGCACCGCATACTTGGATAAACCTAGGTTTACATGGCAGGTGTTGTCGATAAAACAGAAGACGCGTACACTTTCGGAACACCAGATTTTTTTACTAGGGATAACTTTTCATAATTCACCTAAATCATATCCAATAATACAAATGTCAGATATAAACATTGAATGTAGAATTAAGCTTAAGCCCTTTCAAAATTTTAAAACTTTGACAAGATCAGCCTGTTTTTCATTTTTAACTGAAACAAGATATAAGACTTGAGCACAAAATTCATGCTTGAGCATGAGAACGGTTTCGTGAATACGGTTCCTGATCTCATTCCCCTTTTGTTTTTACTGGAGTCTCCGTGTAAGTCTTTATTTTGTTCATGCTTTGTCCTGGTTTTATTGAATTTGAATTTGAATTATGATAATGTTGACGTGTTTATTATATAAAATATAATTTTTTATTCAGAAACAGCAAAAAGCAGCATGGGTAACTGGTCGTTTGGCATTGTCTCAGCAGTCCAGCCGATTTGAGCTTCCAATGGATATGAGGGTCTTAGAAAGTATGTCAATATTCATGTTACAACGAACACGAAAGTGTGATTTGCAATACACATAAGATTCTTGGGTTTCTAGTAAGACAATTATTAAAAACTGCTTTGCTAGATCTGGTACCTTATCATTTGATATTTCTTTAATTTTGTGTATCGTCACTAATAGTTTACCAATGTGTGTGTCTGAGGCTTCATGGCATTCATATGGTTTAATGTTAGCATTATTGTTTTCATTGCCATGTTTCGGAAAGGTCCCAGGCCTCAGTATCATGAAACGATCTGAAGTTGAAGTTATTAATTGGCTAATTACGGATAACGTCATATAATTGGCTGAGAAAACTCAAGTTTAAGTTACAGGATTAATAGGCAAGGTCTAGTAAAATCCAGTTGTATCCTCTTGATTTTGTGTCATGAGTGATGCGTTAGTCCCTGGGTTCATTACGTCATATGTGATGTGTTAGTCCCTTAGTTTATTACATGTCTCTAGAAACTATTATCTCTGATTTTGACTCTAAAATAATAACATTCTTAATTCAACAAAGAAAGCATCAAATGCCATTAAATGCAGAAACAACTTATCGGTTTGCTTGCCTTGACCCAAAAAATGATGTTTGGTTGTTTGGTACCTATCAGCTGAAATATAAATTTTTGGAGTGCTAAGTCATGATATTTCTTCTTTTGTAGCTATGACAACCCAGGAATATATCAGAGAATTCTGTAAAATTACAAAGAGACGACAGAAACTATATTCAGATGTGTTCAGAAGAAATGCAAAACAGAAGGAGAGGAACGTATATGTGATCCCGTTCAAGGTGGGTACTGTCAGACAGATAATTGGTCTTTATTCTGTCCTAGAGATCACTTTTGTGTGGTCCTGTCATGGATAAAAGCATCACACTGATTAATTAATCTGGACATGTTTGATTCTCGTTAGTTTGCCTGTTACTTCAGTGGTTATATTTCTTCTTCTCATTTGGGAACGTGACATTATTTGCTTGGGTTGACAAAGATTTGCATAGCGATTGTCGTTTCGTCGATGAAGCAGAAGATGCTGATTCTTCCGGAACACCTGATCATGTTCTCAATGTACTTTTTCAGGAGTCTACGTGTAGATCTTATTTTGTTCATATTTTTTATGATTCTATTCACATATGCATATTTTTTCACTGAGAAAAAACAAATACATAAGATATTTGAAATTCATTTGCTTTTGATGCAGGACCTGCGAAAGTCTCTGATGGACGTTCTGGTCAACACCTTAACAGATGACCACTTCACCATGCTTGTAGACCACATGGACTTCTCCCCTGATGCTGAGATTGATCTGGTCTTATTTTCAGCTTTATCTGCTCTGGCAGAACGCCTGATGTACCCGGAGTTTGTGTAAGTTTTGGTCTGTTTACTTTACCCAGAGTCTGTGTTGTACACAGCATTGTACACCTTTCAGCGTGCAATATCTAAACATTTGCATGTAAAGCATAGCAGAACGTCTTTAATACAAGTATTCAAAAGGGCTTAAATAACTACTCTCAAACTGGTACTGGCATTTTTTATTTGTGTGTCTTTTACATATAATTGCAGTAATTTAATTCAGAGCTATGACCCGATTCGAGTTCCTGTCATTTTTCTTAAAACTTGGTGTTACAGAACTCAAGAGACGGTAGATATGCCAGATTACATGAAAGAGAAGATTGAGTGTGCAGATTTCGGGGCTCTCAGGTGGAAGATGCAAGGAGTTAATGTCAGTCCAGGAATAAAGAAACTATTGCTGCAGCTCAGCTGATAATTGGTTAATCCATGTTTCTATGACAAAAATTCTACTGCTACAGCTCAGTTGTTGTTTAATCCTGGTTTCTAGGGCAATGATACTACTGCTGGATCTTTAGCCGATGATAAGTCAATACTGGCAATGACACTGCTGTTACAGCTCATCTGTTGATTTGTCAATCCTGGTCAATATGGCAATACTACTGCTGCTGTAGCTTAGCTGTTGGTCGGTCAATCCTTGTCTCCGCGTTAATAATGCATACTCTGTGTCCTTATCAGCAGGCGATTTAGCTTGGGATGGTGACATATGAACGTCAGGTTTACTGACCAACGTCTAAAGTAGGGTATCTTTTTTATTTTTCTTACTTTTAGTTTGCAAAATTACTAGTCGACAGGGATGGACTACATTATACGATGGCCGCACATGCCAGCAGAAATGCTGTACATCTTAACAACCATGATAACCGCAACAATTGTGTTGAACATCCTTACAAGAGCGGAGGACATCTTAAAAGTCTACGGTCATCAAACGAGTAAAGACAAGAGACTTAAAGCTCGACTTAGGAACTAAGTGAAACCAATTTGTACTTCCCACAGTATAACTCGTCGCGATTTATCTTGGGGAAAATACATCTGGATATCAACTCCATGTTCCACGTGTCAATGGAATGGTGTCAGCTTAATTAATGATATGTATTTTATACATGTACAGAAAAACAGCTGGATATCAATAAGTTTATCAATAAATTACACGTAGGAGTTTAGAGTCAAGTTACTAAGATATCAACATTACCGCAGAGTTTTAAACGATGTCAGAATGATTTACAGCTAAGTTCAAACATGTATACCTGTATTCTTATTGATTATAAATACAAAAGACAGCTGATGTGTCACTGAACAATGTTGTAGATTATAACTGCTGAAAAAATGGAAGTTTTCTCTCACTACTATCATACATAACGTATACAATACATAAATGCCTGCATCATGTGACCGTCAATTATGGGGAAATGAATCCATTTACTGGAGACTACTTGTTTTTCCTGTTGGCTTTGTTTACATTAGTAAGATATTAAAAGAATACATAGTTGTCTCCCTTCGGCTGTGTACTTAACATACAAGGAAGACCATATGTATATTATATAAAAGGGGTAGATGGTTGTCTTCCCTTTGTTGATTCAAATATACAGAGTTATCTCCCCATCATTACAATAAATTAAATGTAATACTTATCACAGCTATATATTTCCAAATTCATTTCGGTGATATCCCAGGATATTTATTTCAGATGAACATAATTATAGTTTAAACGGAAACAAAGATAGGTTATTTGTAATATTCTCTTAATTTTTTATGTATATGCCATTTTCTACGTAACATAAATATTTAAATAAATATTTTAGTTATATTTGTTTAAATAACATTTCAACTGTATATCTATGTTGATATATATGTCTATATATATCTTTGTAGATCTTAAATGACTACTTGCAATTTTACAATATTTTTAAATGTCTATCATTCAAACTGCCTTTTACATATGTTCACTTCATATATATTTCACTACCTATATTTATCATTACAAGCCTAACTGTGATAGATAGTGATGCTTCAACAGACTTAACTGTCGTGAGATTAAATGTACATTATCATAATACCAACAAGTGTTCCTCATTTTTATTTCTTGTGATACTGTTCTCTCATTAACTTTAGCACCAAGAGCTCGAGATAAATACCACAAGCAGCAATTTGAGACAATCGTTTTTCTATGAAAAAAAGCAAAATATTGAATCATAGTCGCAAATACGACGCTGTATATTCTATCCGATTGTTTAAATGGTTGTCAAGGCAACCTTCCTTGCTGATTGTAGGTTTAAAACGGGAGGGAAAGCCCAACGTTTTTACCAGAGATCAAGGCCAAGTGAACCCATTAGTTATCAGTTAATCTGAATTACCAACGGGGTGTCGGTGATTTTTCGCATACCACAAATTGTGAGCCAATATTCGGTTTACTCAAGACTTCATTATTTCATTTAGGAAAATGAACTGGAACAATAACACAACAGTTTATTTCAACAGTACAATTTATTCAAAAGAATAAAGATATAATAAATCAATAGAAAAATCATTTACTATTCAGTTTAACAGTCTATAGAACCTACCCAAAACTGACACCATCTGTACTATATCATGGACATCATTGTTACAAATAAAACTGGTATCATCTGTAATATATCACGGACATTATTGTTACACATAAAACTGACACCATCTGTAATATATCACGGACATCATTGTTACACATAAAACTGACACCATCTGTAATATATCACGGACATCATTGTTACACATAAAACTGACATCATCTCTTCTATATCACGGACATCATTGTTACACATAAAACTGACATCATCTGTATTATATATCACTGACATCATTGTTATATCACGGACATCATTGTTATCATTGTTACACATAAAACTGACATCATCTGTACTATATCACGGACATCATTGTTACACATAAAACTGACATCATCTGTACTATATCACGGACATCATTGTTACACATAAAACTGACATCATCTGTACTATATCACGGACATCATTGTTACACATAAAACTGACATCATCTGTAATATATCACGGACATCATTGTTACACATAAAACTGACATCATCTGTAATATATCACGGACATCATTGTTACACATAAAACTGACATCATCTGTAATATATCACGGACATCATTGTTACACATAAAACTGACATCATCTGTTCTATATCACGGACATCATTGTTACACATAAAACTGACATTATCTGTAATATATCACGGACATCATTGTTACACATAAAACTGACATCATCTGTATTATATCACGGACATCATTGTTACACATAAAACTGACATCATCTGTAATATATCACGGACATCATTGTTACACATAAAACTGACATCATCTGTAATATATCACGGACATGTTACACATATATCACTGTATTATATCACGGACATCATTGTTACACATAAAACTGACATCATCTGTAATATATCACGCACATCATTGTTACACATAAAACTGACATCATCTGTACTATATCACGGACATCATTGTTACACATAAAACTGACATCATCTGTAATATATCATTGTTACACATAAAACTGACATCATTGTTACACATAAAACTGACATCATCTGTATAAAACTATATCACGGACATCGGACATCATTGTTACACATAAAACTGACATCATCTGTTCTATATCACGGACATCATTGTTACACATAAAACTGACATCATCTGTAATATATCACGGACATCATTGTTACACATAAAACTGACATCATCTGTAATATATCACGGACATCATTGTTACACATAAAACTGACATCATCTCTTCTATATCACGGACATCATTGTTACACATAAAACTGACATCATCTGTTCTATATCACGCACATCATTGTTACACATAAAACTGACATCATCTGTATTATATCACGGACATCATTGTTACACATAAAACTGACATCATCTCTTCTATATCACGGACATCATTGTTACACATAAAACTGACATCATCTGTAATATATCACGGACATCATTGTTACACATAAAACTGACATCATCTGTAATATATCACGGACATCATTGTTACACATAAAACTGACATCATCTGTTCTATATCACGACATCATTGTTACACATAAAACTGACATCATCTGTTCTATATCACGGACATCATTGTTACACATAAAACTGACATCATCTCTTCTATATCACGGACATCATTGTTACACATAAAACTGACATCATCTGTTCTATATCACGGACATCATTGTTACACATAAAACTGACATCATCTGTTCTATATCACGGACATCATTGTTACACATAAAACTGACATCATCTGTAATATATCACGGACATCATTGTTACTAAAACTGACATCACGGACATCATTGTTACACATAAAACTGACATCATCTGTAATATATCATTGTTACACATAAAACTGGTCATCATCACATAAAACTGACATCATCTGTAATATATCACGGTCATCATCTGTATTATATCACGGACATCATTGTTACACATAAAACTGACATCTTCTGTTCTATATCACGGACATCATTGTTACAAACACCAACTTTACAATACAGACAAATGAATTTAACGGACAACAATAAAAACAAAAATTAAATATATTAATGATTCAACTTTTAATGTAACTTTCTATGAATATGAAAATATTTGTAAATTGATAGAAAATTAATTTTATACGTCATTTTAATTAGATACTCTATGTGTACCATTTGATATCATAGTCAAACAAATGATCTCTCATCCCTCATTCATCTCTCTTCATTTCATATACATCACACCCTCAAACATCTCCAGCTTTCCGATCATTTCTTGTACACGGTAACCCCTTACTTCCCTCGCCATGATTTGTATATTGTACCCTCATACTTCCCTCGTCACGTTTTATACATAGCGTCCTCATACTTCCCTCGTGACGTTTATTCATCGCGTCCTCATACTTCCCGCGCCTGATCTTGTACATTCATGAACCACCTTGTCTATATTGTATTGTACAATTACAAACATCAATCATGGTTTTCTGTAGGATTAAATTGTCCTCATACCTGTCTTGTCCTCACCCGTAATTCAATGGCATCGCGTTGTTGTATTGGTCGCCATTTCCGCACAATTGACAAGAAAGTCTTTCTAAAGTCATGATTCATCACGAGGTAGATGTACACATAGAAATAATAACTCAATAGAAGGAAAAAATGAGTGATGATAATCTCGTCACCTCCTCCGGAAGTGACGTCAGGTATAGCAGAAATAATTTGTCTGACGCGAACGGTTGCTGATGGTATCTCAACGAGCAGACATAACGTTAAGATGACCAGGACACTACATTCTTTGACTGTTTGATTCTTCGCTTGGCGCCGTCCAGTCCTACTGTTTTTAGACAAATTTTGACGCCTTGTATTGTTTCTACAAATGGCAGATATGAGCAGCACATACACTATAACGAGGATGGCACACGGGATTATATGGACGACAAGTGCCACAAACCAGTCACAGAATGCGGCATACACGTCCGCACCATTGATAAAACGATACCTCGCCCTGCACGTTAAGATCTTCCCGACAGAGTATGCAGTGCCATTCATTACAATACTTTCATCGAAATCAATTAATTCAAAGTCAAATAATTTGACAATGTTTACTAAAACGCCAGCACCGGATATGACTTTAACCAGTCTTGTCATGTTTTCAATATTGTACCAAGAAACACAGGAAAACGGAAATCTAAACACTAAATATCTCTGTATTGAAAGACCAATGAACTGCCACATGGAAATAGTATGAAATATATGCGGAAGTACAAAGCCTAATATCCGGAAAACCCCACACCACGGTTTCGATATGGAAGGCGGGAAATTCGGTCCAGCAAATAAGTAAAAGTGTACCGGAAGTTGGACGATTCCGACGAGAGAATTACAACACGCGATAGCAGCGTGCTGTATTCGAGATGCTGATCCTTTTTTAGGGAGATCCGAGTACATCGTGATGACTACCATGATGTTATTTATAAACGTAAGGATGACGATAATGGGCGCTGCCACTCCGTACAGAGACCGGGCCAGCGATGTGTTGAATACAGGAGGAATATCATATATCAAGGGAGGTAATCCCATTTCCGCTTCCTCCATTTTGAATGTGTTTCGTGCTGGGGATTCGATGTATAAAGTCCTCTCGTCGTTCTGCAATGAAATCAAGAACAGCAATAACAGTTGCGCATGTGAAGGCATGTACATACCTGTTTGTATAAATATTTCACGTTGTTGCATGTCATTCCTTATCCGCAGTAATCACTTAATCTAGTAAACGATATACACATTGTTAATATGTATCTATATGTATTGTACATATATTAATATATATATATTCTAAATTTCTAAATTCATACCTTCTGTACTAAATTACCGTTTATCGGTATATCGATGTATATATAGATGTATCTTTAAAACGCTTTGTGTATCGATAAGATATTTGATCAATAAATGCATCACCTGAAGATGGCCGTTAGGCCTGAAAACATTAGCGGAATCCATTTGCCGTGTTGATTTTATTTTTTTCAAATATCATATATATTCCAAATTTCTAACTTCCTACCTTCAAAAAATAAATGACCATTACAAGATGTTGATGTGGATCTCAAAAATAACAATCAAAATAACATGTATCGTCAAGGTCATACTAAATACAAATATTGATGTTTTGTAAACATGTATCGCATTGTGTTACTCCGTACTAAAGAAACTGAGTCAACGGAACGCAAACTGTCACGTGACACAGTTGATCAGTTATCTTACAACCTCTCGAAGTTTAAATTATAATCACTGCAAACGTTTTGACTTTGACAGAATGTCTTGATAAAATATAGAACAAGTCTGAAATTTTGCGATCGTGAAATTTCCTTTACCTGATAGTAGTACTTTGTCTCCCCTGCTATTTTCTTTTTAAAGTAGTTTTCTTTCGTAATCCTTTTTAATGGTAATATATAAGGCAATTTTACCAATACTTGGAGAGCGATTTGAAGAAAAATAAAGGCCAACACTCTCGACAATATTAGAGAATATATGCACCAAAACCATTACACAATATAGTTTTTTCAATCTAATGGATATTAAAAGCAAAACAAGCATTGAAAGCAGTACTTTTAATGGATTTTGGAAACATAGGGATAAGCAAATGGGTAATTACGGGCTAACATGTCGGTATAACATTATATCACCATTACAAAGACTACTGTCATTAACATAATCTTTACATTGGAATACCATCACATCGATCACGAATATACATGTAGACAGAGAAATTATAACTACCTATCAATTAACTAATTGAGCCATCTTGAAATAGACTTGACGTGTATGACTATCTGTATGCAGGTAAGTTAGTTAAAATATGCAGTGACAGATAAATATGGTTTTTCCTCCTATACACAACTATTATCATATGGTAATTTAACGTCGGTGGAAAAAGAATTGGATAGTTATACCGAAATAGAAACGATAACAAACCGGTATGCGGTATCTCGATGCATAATAAAATTAATTATCGATTTGTATGACTCTGGGGCATGTACCAGATGGAGTATGATAAAAAAAAAATCATCATTTATGCATATTATGAAAAAAACATATTTTGTTTAATAGGAGTTGTCTCCCTTATTACACAATAATTTTGGTGAAAATAATTTCAACTTGAATTTCTTTGGATATAAAACCATGTTGTTCCTGAAATATTTTTTATTCTATAACACAGCACAAACCTAACAGCAAAATCCACCGATATATTACAAATAATCAAAATTAGTTAGAAATTGAAATACGAAACAAAGGGATGACTACAATCGATCTGCACCGTGTCACTTACACGTAACGTAGTGTGTTATCGACCTCTCCACGGGACAACCAAGCTAGATATATTAAAGGAAGGCTTTTCCTATGAACTAGTGATACTGAACCCCACAGTATAAAGTCTGCGATAAGCTATATTTACCTAGAATCGAGATGTATCCAGACACGGATGCTTGTGAAACGCCGCCATTTCCAATCCCGTAAAATTACCATAATTTATCGTAATGTATGATAACCACAGAATCTTCGTCATGGTAACTCTTTAGTCCAAGCCATGTATCTGTGTTTATTTCATGTATTATTAATTTGCATTTCTATCGTTTTAATGTAATTTTCACGTTCTCTTTTACGTCAATATTTTCGCAGCATCAAATAATAAACTTCAGTCCAGTTTTTGGTATTTTATTGATTAAACCATACTTCAGATCATATTTTCAAATATCTCTCCTAGATTTACAGACGTTTAACCCAATTACCACTAATGATTATCAGAAGGAATTTGTTCTTTAAATAACTAGAAATTTGTTGACCATGTCATCTATGTTTTCTACCCACCAGAATTGAAAATCAAGGACTACATCGTCCACTTATCTCAGTGTTTTCTTATCACGAAATCAATAAGAAACAACTTGTCAGATAAAATGATGTGGTGAATGTATTTCTACTACCACAACCACTGTGTTAAGTCTAATCATTGGTGACTACCAGCTAATGTTGCCTGATTAGTATATATTATTAATTGTCTACCACTTAGTGTCTACTAGTTAGTGTATACTGTATAATGTCTACCACTTAGTGTCTACTGATAAGTGTATATTGTTTGCTGTTTACCAGTACGTGTCTACTGGTAAGTGTCTTTTGATTAACATCTATCAGTAAGTGTCTTCTGATACGCGTACATTGGTAAGTGTCTACTGTTTTATATCTACTTAGTGTCTACTGTTTTATATCTACTTAATGTCTACTGTTTTATATCTACTTAATGTCTACTGTTTTATATTTACTTAGTGTCTACTGTTTTATATCTACTTAATGTCTACTAGTTACAAGTTTTATATCTATTTAGGGTCTACTAGTTAGTGTCTACTGTTTTATATCTACTTAGTGTCTTCTAGTTAGTGTCTACTGTTTTATATCTACTTAGTGTCTACTAGTATGTGTCTACTGTTTTATATCTACTTAGTGTCTACTAGTAAGTGTCTACTGTTTTATATCTACTTAGTGTCTCCTAGTTAGTGTCTACTATTTTAGATCTATTTAGTGTCTACTAGTTAGTATCTACTATTTTATATCTACTAAGTGTCTACTGTTTAGTGTCTACTTAGTGTCTACTGTTTTATATATATCTAGTGTCTACTAGTTAGTGTCTACTAGTTAGTGTCTACTGTTTAGTGTCTACTGTTTTATATCTACTTAGTGTCTCCTAGTTAGTGTCTACTGTTTTATATATATCTAGTGTCTACTGTTTTATATCTACTTAGTGTCTCCTAGTTAGTGTCTACTGTTTTATATCTACTTAGTGTCTACTGTTTTATACCTATCTAGTGTCTACTAGTTAGTGTCTACTGTTTTATATCTACTTAGTGTCTACTGTTTTATATCTACTTAGTGTCTACTGTTTTATATCTACTGATAGGTGTCTTCTGTTTAGCGCCTACTGTATAATACCTACTTGTTTGTATTTAGCTTGAGAAACTGGGGTTCATATGGTGGTTATACATGAGTTATGAGATAAAAACCCAATTTGCAAGTAAACCATGACGTGGTTTTGTGTTTCATCAGTCTCTCACGGTTTCCAAAACCTTTCAAAATAGGATTATAGAAGCAACCGATATTTTTATAAACATTACTCGTGATGTTTACAAATTTCGGAAAAAATGCTCTTTAAATGAAGATATGATAAGAGAAGACGTGTGATGTACAAAATGTGCTCGAACGTGTTTAGAAGGTTGTTAGATCTATGTATAATCATTTACAAACCTACTTTACTAGACCTAAGACCTGTAAATCAGACTTGATAGAGATCGCTCTGATTCCCTCGACAAATTTTCTTCCTTCAAGAAACCGAAAAATCTCACGCACAACCCAGATTTTCTGTCTCTTCCGATCTCTCAGGAACCTTTACGCGATATTTGGCGTATATTGACGTCACCATTGAGATGACGTCATTTTCAATTGCCTTTTGGACGCATAACCGCAAAGGGAGGTACAGCTGTAATCTAATCTAATAGAAGAATTTGGAGATGAAAAAAAGTTGACAAGGTTTATAGAATTTGAAAAAAATAATGTTCGAGAAAAGGGTTCATTATCGATATATGTTCCGAGATCGATATATGTAAGTTTCTCTCAAATTGTTACATTGTAATACCTAAAAAAATCAATCACTTATTCACTAATTATTTCATCTAATTTTAAACAAAATCGTATTCGATAATTCAGCAATAGATACATAATTCTACCATAATGGATGGGTGTTATTCAACTCCCAATAACGATTGGTTTTGTAATAATTTTATTTTTGTTTGGATTTCTCTCCTTTTTTTGCTTTGAAGACAACAACTAATCTATTTCTAATTACAAATTCTAATGAGTCACAAAAATAGAAATGCATTGGATAAATTAAAAAAAAATGTCTTAATATTTTGAGGGTCAGCTGGTGCAAATGTCATTAAATCTTAAGTTATTGTGGAATGACGACGTAGTCATTATTTACGATTCTCAATCATACATTTTATTTCAAATATCTGATTTCTCACCAACTTCAACACGATTAAGTTAACATCTGTAAAAAATGGAATTTGTTTTGGTGGTGAAAAGCCGAAAATAAAGGGGCGAAAACATTCAACAAGTTCCATCACAGTACGCAACTTCAACAGCCAGAAAATCGAACCCTGTTTACATGGATATCGTTGGTCCTATTTGGTCACTACAGGATAAAACGTTTTAATTGCAATAACTCATACTGCATTTCACATAGACGCTTGAATTGAGATGCATGGTAGAATCATCGATCAATATACTAAATATGGTCATGCGTATGTACGCGTGTACCTAACATCGTGAAGACCACACACGACCATCATTATTCGTGATGTGAATTCCTGTGCTACAAAGGTTTGTGTTTGCTGGCGACGCATATAACATCAGCTGCTAAGATTGTTGGACGACATCACCTACGGTAAAAGGTAGGTCTGGAACCATATTGTAACCCAAGCATGTGCCCACGTTCTGTTAACACGTTGCCATATGAATGATTAACGCCTAAATGTCAGCCTCCATGATGCCTCCCCTTTACGACTATATGCAGTACATGTACGTCACCCTATTGTTGGTTAGAAAACTCATTTACATCACTTGGTATTCTCCGATTTTTCGCGTGCCTACATGCTTCATTTTAAAGGCATTTTTATATCCGTCCATCTCTTTGTACACCTGGGCGACTGAAATCCGACGTTTTACACGATAAAGCTTTAGCAGGTCGATTTTAATGTACTCATCAGTTAATTACCTTGTCTTTGAAAAGGTCTAATTGTAGGTGTTGGTCCGTCTGTGGCACCTGTGCATGCGTACACTGCTTGCCAATGTTAAGGTTGTGGCCGGTTACCAGAGGTCGGAATGAAGTTAGAACAGAATTAGTCACAGAGTCAACCTCTTAATTAGAGTAATTAGGTCACAGGGACACTGGAAGAGTCAACGTCATCTTTATTCCACCTATCTCCTCCAACTACCTGTCGACGTATACTCTATAGAGATATTACTACCTGTCTACGTATACTCTGTAGAGATAACACTACACAACCTGTCGACGTATACTCTGTAGAGATAACACTACACAACCTGTCGACATATACTCTGTAGAAATAACACTACACTACCTGTCGACGTATACCCTGTAGAGATATTACTACCTGTCGACGTATACTCTGTAGAGATACCACTACACTACCTGTCGACGGATACTCTGTAGATATAACACTACACTACCTGTCGACGTATACCCTGTAGAGATATTACTACCTGTCGACGTATACTCTGTAGATATAACACTACACAACCTGTCGACGTATACTCTGTAGAGATGCCACTACACTACCTGTCGACGGATACTCTGTAGATATAACACTACACTACCTGTCGACGTATACCCTGTAGAGATATTACTACCTGTCTACGTATACTCTGTAGAGATAACACTACACTACTTGTCGACGTGTACCCTGTAGAGATAACACTACACTACCTGTCGACGTATACCCTGTAGAGATAACACTACACAACCTGTCGACATATACTCTGTAGAGATAACACTACACTACCTGTCGACGTATACTCTGTAGAGATGACACTACACTACCTGTCGACGTATACCTTGTAGAGATAACACTACACAACCTGTCGACATATACTCTGTAGAGATAACACTACACAACCTGTCGACGTATACTCTGTAGCGATAACACTACACAACCTGTCGACGTATACTCTGTAGTGATAATACTACATTACCTGTCGACGTATACCCTGTAGAGATAACACTACACAACCTGTCGACATATACCCTGTAGAGATAACACTACACAACCTGTCGACATATACTCTGTAGAGATAACACTACACTACCTGTCGACATATACTCTGTAGAGATAACACTACACTACCTGTCGACGTATACCTTGTAGAGATAACACTACACAACCTGTCGACGTATACTCTGTAGAGATAACACTACACTACCTGTCGACAGATACTCTGTAGAGATAACACTACACAACCTGTCGACATATACTCCGTAGAGATAACACTACACTACCTGTCGACATATACTCTGTAGCGATAACACTACACAACCTGTCGACGTATACTATGTAAGGACAGCTAGACTATCAGTTGACATGTTTGCAAAATTATTACCATACCTCTTGCCGACATATTTTCTGCAGTGACATTCCGTAATGTGATAATTAAATGTTTTATTACAGAGTTGCCACATAGCGTGACCAAGCATGAAGTAGCTTTTGATGTATAGTTGTAGTGGGCATATGTGTGTTATAGTAGGAGGAGTTTTAGAAACCTCGGATATTTTTGTTTATATCCCTGTCAGGACATTGGTATGACATCAACTGACGTCAAGTCTTTGAAGTTATCTATCCCCAGAGTTCAAATTCCCAAAGTTCACACCATGGGTCTTAAGATTCTATCAATTCTATCTTAACATCTGGGAGATAAAATAGTTGTGACGTCACATGACATATTGTATATTCTTGGTGACGTCTAGATATTAAGATAGCACTAACGTCAGATGGCATGAATTGTAAATCATATTTATATAGGATCATACATAAGTTTCCATTTGATATGAGAATTTTGAAATGAAGAATTTTTCAGAGGCTAGCTAAGATGGAGAATTCATAACGGGATTCATAAATAACATATCATAACTGTTTGAATTAGCCTTTCCCTTTATCACTTTATCGAGAAAGTATTTCTTATTGATGAGAGACAGAGAGAGACAGACAGACAGAGAGAAAGACAGACAGACGGACAGACAGAGACGGAGACAAAGAGAGACAGACAGACAGATAGACAGAAAGACAGACGGAGACAGACAGAGAGAAAGACAGACGGAGACAGACAGAGACAGACAGAGACAGACAGAGAGAAAGACAAACAGACAGAGACAGACAGAGAGAAAGACAGACAGACGGACAGACAGAGACGGAGACAAAGAGAGAGAGAGAGACAGACAGACAGACAGACAGAGAGAAAGACAGACAGAGACGGAGACAGACAGAGACAGACAGAGAGAAAGACAAACAGACAGAGACGGATACAGACAAAGACAGACAGACAGACAGAAAGACAGACAGAAATACAGAGACGGAGACAGACAAAGAGACAGACAGACGGAGAGAAAGACAGACAGACTGATGGACAGAGACGGAGACAGAAAGACAGAGAGAAACACAGACAGACAGGCAAGGGAAAGACAGACAGAGATAGAGCGAGGCAGAAAGAAAGGAAAACAGACTCAGGAGACAAGGGGACCAGAAGTGGTGATTAATCAGTGGTGCTATACTTTGACCATCTGTTAAGTTATAGCTTGACAAATAACCATATGTTCGGTAGCTTAGGTGACCATAAAACTAAATGGTTGATATATATCGTCACCTCGGTGAAACACTCTGAACATGATGCGATATTGATTAGGACATTTGTCCGGCACAACATGCACGTTGGCAATTTAAATGTTCTGAAATATGCAACAGGTTGTGTATGTTTATTTACTAGTGAGTATAATTAGTGGTAGAAGGCTTACCCTAACGTTGTGATATACTCGTCACGGAAAAGTGCTGGTAATGTTGTGATGAAGGACACATTTCCTAAATATCAGAAACATGAACAAACTATAGTAATGTTATAATGTATTAGTTTATAGATCGTTCTCTGTCTCTACTGTGTTAAATTGATTTTGTCAAAAGACAATCGCCAACTTGTTCAATTTATTCATATTGTGTATCAGGTATTGAAAACAATTGCTAATCTGAAATCCATGCAATTACGATATGCTGACATTTAATTTGATTATTTAAAACTTTTTCAGACGTAATGATGACATGGGTTAATGGTGTGTCTGTGTGGAGTTTATTTCTTCTGCTATATATTACTGTATCATATTCCCTCGATCTATCAGCTTTCGGAAATTTACATATACCGGATGTGAATTCAGATCACAACTCCATACATGGAGGTGTTAAAATGGGAGTGCTGGACGACACGTGTGACAACGGAAAAGTAAGTCCAAAATTTCATATTAATATTGCTATATTGACATTTACAAGTCATTTTTTCAGTATTAGTTGGCATCAGCTTAATTATTGTAGTATGACGTGGCAATGTAGATTGTCCTTTCAAATAATTGAATATTAATGGAGATAGCTAAAACAGAAAAAAAATATAAACGGCTCTCCTCCTCTCGCAGAATCAGGACAATTTACATCTCGATTTATAAACAAACTTTCTCTTGTTACAAGGTGTCATTAAAATGTACATACCTCAGCTTTGGAATATCAAGATGTATCTCAAGCAAAACACTACCGTTAGTTTCTCCGATGTACCGGGAACTACTTTCGGACCACCTCTGATACATAGTTTACAAGGTGACACAAAAGGAAGAATGGTAATTCAATTCAGTTTTGACTTTCGAGTTTGAATTTATTTCCGTGTCAGCATGAGTGTTAGGGGAGCAGTGGTAACGCACTCGCCTTTCACCTAGCTATCCTGGGTTCGATTCCCGGAACGGACGTGTAAAGGTATGAGGTTTCCACAGGTACTCCGGTTTCCTCCCACAGTAAGACCCAATCCGTTTCCATCCGGACCAACAAGAGTGATTAATATAAGCTGATAACTTGTTTTGCAATTGTAGTCTAACAATAAAGTTTTTAAACATTTTCTTTGGAGATGCATTGCTGATTTTTAGAATTCAGATAATGTCTACACTGTGAGTATAGCACCTATTAAGGTCACGTGGCCTGATGACCCAAGGTTATTTGGCAGATATCATGGAGAGTGTAATTACAGGAGATTAAACTTCTCTTTTATCATATATAGATAGGGCATTACATCATCATCCATGTTTCTTTCTGTTCATGAAGATGGGCCTAGTCAGTGTCTGATAATAGTGTAAGGTAAACTTCTGTGACGTCACAATTAAACTTAACACGTGATCTGATGTCTCGTGGCAAATTCTTTATATTATTCACCAATAAGCAAGGTCCGAGCACTGAACCCTGTTGGACTCGTTTCTCCTTCCCTAATTACGCCAAGCCCTCTATGTGATGAGAAGCTTTTCAATCCAGGTGTTGATTTCCCCTCGTTCTTCTGAAATTATCACTATGTATGAAAATTACGAAATGTGTTGAATTATTGTGCTAGTACATGCCTTCCCATCTAAATTTTGACATTTTTGTCGATCAACTTTGATTTTATAAAGTTTATAATAATGAGGTTTTACATATTCTGATATGTATGAATTGACATATCGTTGGGCGTACACTAACTTCTATCATGTCAATTTCAATCTTAGGAAATATTTATGTTTATCAAAGTCTAAAATATATGTCAAGAATTGACTTTATTGGACAATAGTTTTTGCAATTCATCCCGTATCACGTGACCACAACATTTGCATATTGTTGAAGGACCGTATAGACGTTGACCTATCAATGATGAGTGAGATGACACGTAAATGTCCTCCGTCAAACAGACTACCAGTACCCACGTGTGTAAGTATACACCATCAACACCAATAGACTACCAGTACCCACGTGTGTAAGTATACACCGTCAACACCAAGAGACTACCTGTACCCACGTGTGTAAGTATACACCATAAACACCAATAGACTACCTGTACCCATGTGTGTAAGTATACACCATAAACACCAATAGACTACCAGTACCCATGTGTGTAAGTATACACCATAAACACCAACAGACTACCAGTACCCACGTGTGTAAGTATACACCATCAACACCAACAGACTACCAGTACCCACGTGTGTAAGTATACACCGTCAACACCAAGAGACTACCTGTACCCATGTGTGTAAGTATACACCATAAACACCAACAGACTACCAGTACCCACGTGTGTAAGTATACACCATCAACACCAATAGACTACCAGTACCCACGTGTGTAAGTATACACCGTCAACACCAAGAGACTACCTGTACCCATGTGTGTAAGTATACACCATAAACACCAACAGACTACCAGTACCCACGTGTGTAATTATACACCATCAATACCAATAGACTACCAGTACCCACGTGTGTAAGTATACACCGTCAACACCAAGAGACTACCTGAACCCATGTGTGTAAGTATACACCATAAACACCAACAGACTACCAGTACCCACGTGTGTAAGTATACACCATCAACACCAATAGACTACCAGTACCCACGTGTGTAAGTATACACCGTCAACACCAACAGACTACCAGTACCCACGTGTGTAAGTATACACCATCAACACCAAGAGACTACCGGTACCCACGTGTGTAAGTATTATTATTGGTCATAAACACAAATAGCACATTGTCAGTACCCACATGTGTAAGTATTATCATTGGTCATTAACGCAAACAGCACACTGTCAGTACCTAAGTGTCTAAATTTGACATTAATACAAAACCACACTTTCAATTATTAAATGTAAAGGTAAACAACTTGTACACAGATGAGAGACAAGCGCAAAAGTATACTACAGATACAAACAAAAGAGACTCATTGTCTTAAGTTGGTGCAATCATTGTTGGTTCAATGATGAGTTTTAGCGCCTACAATAATTGATAAAAAAGACCATATAGAAGCAACATTTAGCGAGCTCATTTCAGGGCAATACTATTATGTGAAAAGGCCTAAAATTGGAATGTAGAAAATTAGTTTTTAAATAACAACGCTTACAAGATATATCACGGGAATTATGCGTCATTAATCTCACTAATTGTCCCTTCATTAGTGTTTATTGCTGACTAGATGATGACATTTACATAATCTCCTCTTATTTCTGTTTTTTCATGATAGAAGCTTTGGAGACGTGATAAATTCTCGTTGAAAAGTGTTTCCTGCAAAGTAAGTAAACGATGCATTATTATTTGTGTTCAGAATTTGTTCTGACTACGTACAAAGTAAACGAGGAGGTAAGGCATCGACCAACTTTGTCGGCTGTACTATAATTCTAGGTACATTATGGTCGAAAATAGTGTGACGAGAAGGCAAGGAATCGACCAACTTAGTCGGCTGTACTATAATCCTAGGTACATTATGGTCGAAAATAGTGTGACGAGATGATAAAAAGATTATAAACAAATAAATAACTAAGATGGTGAAATGTATGGTAGACATTTCGACGAGGCTTTTTTAAACACGTATTCATAGATGTGCGAGAGCCTGTGCCTCCCTCCCCTCGTCCCTTTTTATATGCCCGTCGTAAACTTTTATTTGTCCGGAGAACTCCTCCTACATTTTTCAGCCGATCTTTATGAAACTTGGTAGGCTTAATTACCATGATATGAAGTTGTGTTTTCCCGAACGGGGTTTTGATTTGGTGATTTGATCAAGAGTTATGGCCCTTTGTTTATTTCACTATAGAAATCTTGTTCGGAGATCACCTCCTACATTTTTCAGCCGATCTTTATGAAACTTAATAGGCTTAATCACCACGAAATGAAATTGTGTTTTCCTGAACGGAGTTTTGATTAGACGATTTGAATAAGAGTTATGTCCCTTTTGTTTCACTATAGAAATCTTGTCCGGAGATCTCCTCCTATATTTTTCAGCCGATCTTTATGAAAGTTTGTATGCTTAATCACCATGATATGAAATATAAAAATCTTGTCTGAATATTTCCTCTAACCGATGTTTATGAACTTTTGTAGGTTTAATCTCTATAACATGATTTTATTTTTCTGAATGGAGGTTTATTAGATGATATATACAGAACCATTCCAAAAGTATTCAATCACTCAATATTTTTACGATAAATTTGAGTGAATATTTGATCATGTGATGAAAAGGATCTTATATTCGTTTCCATTTGATGTGAGATTTATGAAACTCGCCTCAAATTTGTCATTTTACCTCGCCAAAGGCTCTGTGAAATAAAAACGTCTTTGGATCGTTTCATAAATTCCTCCTACTTTTTTCGACCTTTGACTGCCATCAAAGTACACCAGGTGGAGGACTGTAATTCTTGAATTATCTTCTTTGTTTTGGATATTCACGGGCGTATTTTGTTCCGCTTTGCGGTACTCTTGTTAATACTGGCATGTGGCGACATCTAGATGACTTTCTTAATCAGACGTCTAAAACGGTTATTTCCCCTGTCACTATTTTGGAATTTTCCAAGTCGATGATGTAATTTTGCTGTGTGGAATAATATGTAAGTGCCGATTTATTGGTCTTGGATTGAGAATGTTTTCGCTCTGATCTAGTGAATAATTTGACTTCTGCGGATTCCACGTTCTCTTGTTGTTTATCGAGTCGGATCCCGAATCTCCTGCCTGTTTATCCGATATACAATGCTTCCAATCTTGTATATGTATCAGCGAAGTTCTCTTTCTTTGTTTAATCCTTAGGACAGACTAGGATATTTCGGGGAGTCTTGTAAGGTCTCATGGCTGTAGCAATGCCATGGCCACGGTAAATCTTTTGAATGTCTTCTGACATGCCTTTGATGTAGGGGATGACTACTTGTTCTTTCGTTGTGTTATTTTCCTTTGTGTCTCATCGTTTAATCTTTCATCAAATTTGTTGTTTATTTTCTGGATTTCTCATTCAGGGTATCCACTTGTTTTTATGTCACTATGGATGTGATTTTGTTCTTGCTCCATGTCTTATTCTGAGGTGACAGTCGTTTAACATCTTTTGAGCAAAGTTCGTACAACACTCAACTTCTGGTGTAGGTTGGCCACAATCGTAGACACTGGTCTGGCCATGGCTGTGCCAAACCGTTGCATATAAATGTTATTTCGAACGGAAAGTATGTTGTTGTAAGCAAAAATCCATGATGTCTTAGATAGGAGATAGGTGCTCTTTCGCCATGATCGGTCTTGCTCTAGGCGGCTCCGAATGATACCAAGTGCATTGTCAGTGGGTGAGTCGGTGAAAAGAAACACTAAATTGTGTGAAATGAATTCATGATCGTACCGTCATTCTAGCTTTTGAGATGATATTCATACTTTTCCACCGGGGTCCTAGAATGTCTGCTTTTAATGACAGGAGACAACGTTACCGATAGAGTTAGTATAGTTCACATTAGACAGTAATGGGTTCCGTTCTTTGTAGGCGTGTCCCTGCAGTGGGATACAGATGTCTATATTGTGATTCGATGGTTTTATTTTCATGCTTTACTGTAGATAAGGTAGCCACCAGACATTTTTTGAAAACGTTTTGATATGTTCTTGAGTTTTTCATATATATTGTTGTCTTCGATTGTAGTCACATTTTTTTCTAATATTCGTAGGGTGCCCGTGACAACGCAAGTGTTAAACAAAGTGTAGACGAATTGACTACAGTGCATTTTGCCAACTTGTGTAATTTGTTTGGTCTATAATATTTTTACCATCTCGTCACACTATTTTCGACCATAGTGTACATCGGTTTATAGCACAGCCGAAAAAGCTGGTCGATTTCTTACCATCTTGTGCACTATGTTAGTCATTGCTAGTACCCTCCACACTGATCATTTGTCTAATGAAGGTGACCGTGTAGTCACCGAAACGTCACACTCTAATCTTCTACTGGTTATGTTATAAGAATTTCTATTTCAAATAAATACGCTTTGTTGTATACTTGGTTAATTCTAAAATTCTGATGCTGATAACCGTGTAAATAGACACGTAAGACTATTATATTAACTGATGTTAATACCATCAATGTCAAGGTCACATATCACCTACAAGTCATGGTAGATATATACGTTTCATCATTTGGATCAGAAATCTATTAATTACCTATAACCAGAATTTGTGTTTTGTTTCTAGTAAGATATTGAAGTATGTCGTTTTCTAATGGACGAATTATAAACAAGTCATCCTTCTTTTCATGTCAAGACACCAGAGCCGATCTGTACCAAACGAGCACACCGGGTATGTACCTATGTATATTCACAGGTGTATAGATGGCTGACAATATGTATACATGCTTTCCGCGTCGCCTACGATAACGAAAATTATAGCTTGACGTTAATCATTCAGCTGATCAAGATTTTCAAATAGCTTTTCCAGTATGTAAACATACAGGTAGAAAAATATTTTTAAATTAGAAAAAAAAACCATAATAATGTTTTAGATAATATCCGGAATGTTACTATAACCATTGAAAGTTGGTCAGAATGTATTGATTGTCAATATGAAAGCAATTTGGGTGCCAGCTAAATACCTAACGGACGTCATTCTATTTATGCGGCTCCCATATTGCTTTCCTATTGACAATCTGAAGGTCAATGTTTAGATAGCGTTCAGATAGACAATATATGTTTGGACGAATGAACAATTCTCAATTCATCATAGTTTTGCTTCATGCTGGTATTCAGGTGTAAACCTAATATTCATTGTGTGGCTGTTTATTATCGAAATGTGATGTACATAGGTAAGGCATTTCTAACAAAGCAGATGAAAAAACATCAAAACCCAACTTTAAACTGTTAGCGGTATGTTTATATAAATGCTACTTTTGGATTGGTTTTGTGTTCTGTTTATATAAATGTTACTTTTGGATTGGTTTTGTGTTCTGTTTATATAAATGTTACTGTTGGATTGGTTTTGTGTTCTGTTTATATAAATGTTACTTTTGGATTGGTTTTGTGTTCTGTTTATATAAATGTTACTTTTGGATTGGTTTTGTGTTCTGTTTATATAAATGTTACTTTTGGATTTGTTTTTGTGTTCTGTTTATATAAATGTTACTTTTGGTTTGGTGTTGTGTTCTGTTTATATAAATGTTACTTTTGGTTTGGTGTTGTGTTCTGTTTATATAAATGCTACTTTTGGATTGGTGTTGTGTTCTGTTTATATAAATGTTACTTTTGGATTGGTGTTGTGTTCTGTTTATATAAATGTTACTTTTGGTTTGGTGTTGTGTTCTGTTTATATAAATGTTACTTTTGGATTTGTTTTTGTGTTCCGAATCCGTATCCAGATATATAAATACGTAAAGGTAGCTACTAAGGCGTATACAGTAAAATAACTAAACATCAATATCTAACAGCAATGAGTTAAAACGTAAAGCTATACTGAAGTAACTATCGGAAGGACGACCACAAGAGATTAGAGCCAAGATAGAGAAATCTCATTTATGTTCTATATAACATTATCAAGTGATGTCTTGTATGTCACACTCGTACACTTCAACCCATGTTTGTTTAACCCACCAGGATGCAAACAAACATTTAATTAAAAACACTTTAAATGCCAGACCATCAAATCGTTAACCAGTTTGTTGTTTGGTGTATCGCCATGCGAAACACAAGGGTTCACTTGATGCGGGGTTTCCTTGTCGTGTCTGGTGGCTACCTCACTGAACAACATACAGGAAGCCCATCGCATACCATTCAGTCCAGAGCAGTTAGGGTAAAATGTCCATCGACACAATCACGTCAGCACAGACACGCCCGTTTCTAAGCTTTCCGAGAATAATTAACCGACATGAGCACCTTGGAATTTCCCCTTAAAGTACGTTGGTCAACGTTCTGAGTTACCCGACTTGCTTGTAATATATATAAATGTGATGAGTTCCAGGTTGATGAGCTTGGCTTACTGTTAATTGTTATATAAGTCAATGTTCTTCGTTGTAGCCTATTCACCAGTGTATGGACAAAGTAATCGTTTATAAAGACGATATACCGACAAGGTAAGTACATACTCCACCTTCTTCATGTGTACGTGACGATTTTGTCCTGACCTACTCACTTAGTGATTTACATTAAGCGTCTTCAAAACCTTTGGTTTCTTCCTTAAATGTCTTTTTTCTCAATGTCAATGAAAAAAAGCTGATCTGCCGATATCATGACAAAATTTTGATATTGCCATGTTATTTCTGTTAACTTACTGTCGATTTTTATGTCCTTTAAGTCTCTATTCAATTATCCAAAAGAATAACAAATACAAAATTGCACTAAACTGCGACTGATTCACTGTGACAGAAGCACTACGTGACAGACTTCACAAAATCAATGTTGTGGCATAAACCAGGGTTTTAAAACCTGTTCGTACAGTAAGCCGTGATTTTCGCCAAGTTATGAAAGTTGAGTTTGTAAGTAGGGAGTTACTGCTATAAACAAACGCTGCAACAACTGAATGTTGATGACCTAAGAAACTCCTCCGTCAGCTTGGTATTGTTTTACCACTTATCATAACTGGTGATTTAAACATTATCCAAAATGTTAAGCTACGCTGTTCATGAAAGGTCTTAAATATCTTGAAACCCCGACTGTTAATTGAGATGTTAACTATGAAAGAGAATTGGTGAAACGAGAACATGTCAAAGGGATTTTCACCAGTCGTCAACACTCACTAAGAACAATTCTTCCATAAGAACATTGGATTTCTCCACTCTGTTCACCACCATGCCCGATTCTAAACTGAAACAACGGCTTCGTTCTCTTGTTATGATAAATTTCTTTTCCAAGACAGGTGAACGTCGGTACAAACGTGTGGTTGTGAACTATACTGAGCGCGTTTTTCGTGAAAAAATATGTCAAAAAGAAAGAAGAAATATAAGGAGGACGATATCATACAAAGAATCGAGTTTTCGGGTTGAAGTTAAGTAAATTTTTAGATGGAGGGGTCAGTTATTCGCGTTACCATCTTTACGACTTGCTGGTTGACTAGACACGGATGTGATACACATGAAGTATTGGGTAGTCGTTTATAAACATTTTAATGTAATGAGGATGTACATAAAAGAGTCAGAAATCAAGCACAATTGTACTTGTAATAATTTGCCTGCATTCTTATGAAATTTACAAATCACAGAACTTCGTAGGAAAACACAGAATATTGGAAATCTTCAGTATAACAGGAATGGAATTTGTTTATCAATATATCAATTTCGGATCCCATTTTTTCAAAATTTGCGATATTTTATCCCGAATTAGATCCGACTCTTTAGTTTGCTGTGTGTAAATAATATATTATGACCGGGAATGATGGCTATTCAAACTTCAGTAGTCTCGTTTAACAAGACTCTTGTTTTTAGTGCACATAACGCCAACAGTCTGGTCAAGGTCTGTGATGTGGTTTTGTAGTGTCAAAAGGAATCTTATGAGAAATCTGGTTACGATCTCATTGGTCATTAGTACAGAAACTCTTATCAAGGTGGCTGTTGTAACCGCTCCGTCGAAATCATATTACATTTTCTATTTCCGTTTCTTTTGGAATCGCTTGCTTGTCTTTTCCTCTAGTTGACGTTAATATATATACACACGTCGGCAGAACAGTGTTTTTGTTGGTGAGACAACGCCTACAGATAGGAACAGTCAACCAGCTAATAAACCAATTATAAATACACTTTGATATTATCCTATAGCATCGCTGCGTTGAAACTGGAAAACAGAAAACACGCTTATGAGTTGATCGCACTCTCGTATACTTAAATAACACTGACCTGACAATAGGACACAGATATTACAATTTAAACAGATGGCAATGACAACGTACACGTGACAGTGTATTCACACTACACACCACTTTAGCATACATGCACGATGCACACACTGCTGTCAACCACAGCTACTGTCAAATATATTGGGCATGAAAAATAAATTAGGCTTATGAACCATGAATGAGTAGTATAGCCCATCTCTCATAATCATTAAGCTGCTGTTACTGTATCAGTGATTTTTTCATAAATCACGTGTTTAAGGCATTATTAGAAACAAAATAACCATGTTGGCAGCTCAGTACATGTAAATAAATACACAATTTTCTGATGATTATATCCGAATGTCAAATGTTATCATCTCCACTATTGCAAACAGTTATTAATTGAAATATTTACATGAGACTCCAGTGATCAATAAGAATATAAGATATAGCTATTGAGAATAGCTCATATCGTATATAAAAAAAATTCGACACAAAAAACAAAAACGCCAAGTCAATTAGCAGGACTCTTGCCAACAAATCATCCTGTCACTCCGCGATTTGCCATCAACACCTCAGAAAGGTTTTGATCTAGGACCCATTCTACCTGTAATTTGTTAGTCTGTCGTTCCAGGATAACTCCACGTAAAACTTATATGCGTCTAATTGTCATTCGCGCTGAAGATGAATCATGTTACTATGCACACCTGCTGTAAGAGCAACCACCTCCCTCGACGGAATGAATAGGAGGTATATTACTTCGCATTGGGAACAACTCTTGCATATGCCTTTAAGGTCCCCTGAAAGTCCATGTATGTCAAAGGGAGATCACCACCATGAACACTTTTAGGCAGGAATGTGATGAAATAACAGCCAGAAATCGCCTACATTTATGGCGGACGGCTGGAAATGGGCAGAGATGGTGGTCTGAAATAGATGAGAGACATAAAAAAAAGAATTCTTTCCCGAAACTTGACAGCTCTCCCATTTTACCGCACAAGTAAATGAGTTGTACAACGTTCCCACGCGAGAGCTATTTTCGCTCATCGAAACTATCACTGATGTTGGGTATTTGATTTACGACCCATACAAACACAACTACTGTAGCGGTGCAGGCGCAGAAATCAAGTAAAAACTTGACAGAACGTGATGAAGATCCCCTACTGGGTTTTCAAATACAGGTACCTTCGGGGAGGCTCCTCTGTTGGAGTTTTTACGTCTTCTAGAAGTGAGAACCAGCTCATAACTTGCGACAGACGTAACAGTCATCACTCTAACGTGACCTACTAATAATGCAAAAACGGATATACTGAGGGTTGACTAGTCACTGTTCTACGTCATGTACAGCACGAATCTCAAATTCACCACTCGAGAAGTTTCAGACAGTTCAACACAACGCTAGCCCTAGTAACTTCTGAATTAATGATTGTTATTAATGCCTCAAGGTCACAAATGGATCAGACATCTTTACCTCTTATCATATGACACAATGTTTTGACTGCTACTACTATGAGCAGCTCTAACTCGTTGTGATGTTAAGTGATATCCACAACATCTGACAAAAAACTCGGCATAAAAAACTGACCTGTAAGAGAGCACCAACCACGTTGTCCAAACCAACAGGCATCGGACGCTATGTAACCATTTGGTTGAGATCATTCCGAAATCATGGAAACTCCGTCGTAATTCACCAGAAATTTTGACCACTATACTAGGTCCAACATTACAAGCCTGTTTTAAGCGCAGTTCTATAAGCCATTTTTGCAACCTTGACACAAAGACACTGACTGGCTTAGCTGAACACAGTGAGAGATCAAATGAAGTTTCGTCCAAAATGATTTGCAAGTCTTCACACTTTTTCTAGCAGGCTAATTCTTCAACATTTTGATTATTCATTACCCTGCTCTGGAGAATGGAAGATGTCATGGTTCCGAGTCACAAAACACGACTAAAACAATCTAGTTATACAGGTAACACGATCTATTTCAGATTACCCGAAACTACAACCTTACGGCAACCTTCCCAGAACCATAAACGTTGTGTCCGCCCTATCCAGGGTTTCAACCCCGGCTATCAGCTAGATACGTCACAAGATTAGCTCATCCCAGTAAACATTTATGAAATAGAACTTATCACACGCAGATATATTTACACAGCTTATCTGGGTCCCATAGACAAGACGGTATCAAAAATCTAATACTGATTCACTTGAAAACCAACCGAGTTCATAAATCCTGGACCCAGCATGTCTGATCTACAAAAGTCGAAGAAATGAAAGGACGAGCCAAAACTGTGGCAAAGTCGTCCATCGAAAATGTTAACCGCAATACGAGCCAGGATACCAGTGTCTAGAATTATAATGATTGATTACCAGGGTTGTAGACTCTAATAACACTGGCTTTACGTCTTATAGAAAGTGCCATGTTTATTGCCGTCCGGGAGATATTGAATGAGTTCTTTAACTTATATTTCTATGTTGATGTATATGTGTTTTAATAATTGAATGTTGTCGATTAAAACCGAGGTCCAGTCTATGTGGTAAATCATATCAAACTCAAAAGCTATTCAATATATATATATAATGTACTTGGAAACTCCAAGCGTCGACTTGGTCTACAAACAAGGCATACAACCAAGGCACTACCAGACACTTAAACGAGCACCAAACATGTCCAACTTTACATCATACAAGGAAATATATTATTTCCCTAATGTGATCAGACCGTAAAATTACCACATAATCTACAACCTGTATCACTTGAATCCTTGTTGGAACAAGGCCTGGAATATCGAATCAACTGGGACATGTAGCTGCATCTTTTTCGCGTTTTAACTAAAAGCTATTATCAAAGTATCTGATTACTTTTAGAATCTGCGAGAAATTAAAAAAAAATACTTTCAAGTCTGGACAAAAGGATTAGTCCTTCAGATAGACTGATATTCCATATTTTAGATTAAAAAGTTGAACAAATAATCATTAAGTGGTTTGTGAAGGAAGGAACTACTGGGGCTTCTAATCACTTGATTCTGGTATAATAGCCTAGAATGTAGGCTCTCCTGCTTTTATCAACTTCCTGTTTAGATGTCTCAAGCCGATCTAAGTGCTCTCCTAACAAGTTCTTTGTGAACTTTAGATATTCCGCGTTCATTATTCGATGGGGTGTCGCTCTCAGATCATTTCTGAACTGTTGCAGCCGATTTTTTTTCTTCACTGGTGTCAAGACTCACGTCGCACTTGTTTGATATTTCTCTACTTTTGCTCCGTGTGGGTTTCCTCTCCGAATTCCTCCTTCCGTACATTGCACACAATGGCAGAGAAGCAATAAAATTTGTAATTAGAATTTCGTTGTGGGGGAACATTTATTTTTAAAAAACTTTCCTTATGAATAACAATGGTAAAACAACAACAATAAATTGGCAGGTGTTTAATCTTGCATTGTATGACTGACCCGACAGGAAATCATATTCGCAATTATCAACATTCTCTGTGTCAGCTGCTGTTAATGGCTGTTATGTCAATGTTGTTTAGGGGTTACGTTAAACCCAATATTGTCTGTAGATGTTAGATTGATCTATGCACGTGACTTGTTTATGCCTGCAACATACAGTTAGTATATATGATTTGTGAAGAGAATGAGAGCCCCCATGTGTAAGGACATTTTGGTATATCTTACTTGTGTCTTAACTAGTGAAATGTTTGTTTAAGAGAGATATGAGAGATATAAAGTGTAATAGTGTAAAATTGAAAAATAAAAATTAATAATCCCGAAGTATTTCCACAGAGCGCAATACGTATCTGAATAGGACGCACGCGCTTTTAACAATGAAGATAAGTGATATTTCTAATTCGTCTTTAAGTGGTGCCCATCGCCCTATCTGGCCAGTGTATGGAGAATATGACTATTTACCCCCTCAGCGGTGGATACATTCGCTAGAGGTGAGTCTATTACACACCATCTTAGGATCAATTTCAAAAAACCTCCTAGTAATATGTGACAACGAAGTTTGAAATATCAGTTACAAAGGCAAAATTTGGTTTCTGTCTGAAAAAAATAGTGCCAATACTTTTCTCATACAATTAAAATATATACCCTATTACATATAATGACTTGTTTATTAATTCCAAAGTCTGACTTCTATCTATGATATAATTTTGTCGATAGTCAGAATTTCTCCCTAAAAAATGAAACTTTTCAAACTTTCAAGCTAATTTGCCACAGGATATTAGTATTTTTACAGGTGTGTGCTTTACTACAAATGTCTTCTATGAAACGCTCTCTCGTTAAATTGATTACTGATGTTGTAACTTTGGTGGGAAAACATGATTTATTGTTGACACATAGTTGAATGTTGTCCTTGCTACAAATTGTATATCTGTTGTAGTCCTAACTACAGACTGTATATCTGTTGTAGTCCTAACTATTGTATACCTGTTGTAGTCCTAACTATTGTATATCTGTTGTAGTCCTAACTACATATCGTATATCTGTTGTAGTCCTAACTACAGATCGTATATCTGTTGTAGTCCTAACTATTGTATATCTGTTGTAGTCCTAACTACAGACTGTATATCTGTTGTAGTCCTAACTATTGTATATCTGTTGTAGTCCTAACTATTGTATATCTGTTGTAGTCCTAACTATTGTATATCTGTTGTAGTCCTAACTACAGACTGTATATCTGTTGTAGTCCTAACTATTGTATATCTGTTGTAGTCCTTACTATTGTATATCTGTTGTAGTCCTAACTATTGTATATCTGTTGTAGTCCTAACTACAGACTGTATATCTGTTGTAGTCCTAACTATTGTATATCTGTTGTAGTCCTAACTATTGTATATCTGTTGTAGTCCTAACCACAGATTGTATATCTGTTGTAGTCCTAACTACAGATCGTATATCTGTTGTAGTCCTAACTATTGTATATCTGTTGTAGTACTAACTACAGTCTGTATATCTGTTGTAGTCCTAACTACAGACTGTATATCTGTTGTAGTCCTAACTACAGACTGTATATCTGTTGTAGTCCTAACTATTGTATATCTGTTGTAGTCCTAACTACAGACTGTATATCTGTTGTAGTCCTAACTACAGACTGTATATCTGTTGTAGTCCTAACTATTGTATATCTGTATATCTGTTGTAGTCCTCTATATCTGTTGTATATAATTTGTATATCTGTTGTAGTCCTAACTACAACTGTATATCTGTTGTAGTCCTATCTACTATTGTATATCTGTTGTAGTCTCTCGTATATCTGTTGTAGTCCTAACTACAGACATGTATATTGTTGTAGTCCTATACAGTTGTCTGTTGTCCTAACTACAAATTGTATATCTGTTGTAGTCCTAACTACAGACTGTATATCTGTTGTAGTAACTATTGTATATCTGTTGTAGTCCTAACTATTGTATATCTGTTGTAGTCCTAACTATTGTATATCTGTTGTAGTCCTAACTATTGTATATCTGTTGTAGTCCTAACTACATATCGTATATCTGTTGTAGTCCTAACTATTGTATATCTGTTGTAGTCCTAACTATTGTATATCTGTTGTAGTCCTAACTATTGTATATCTGTAGTCCTAACTACAGTCCTAACTACAGTATATCTGTTGTAGTCCTAACTATTGTATATCTGTTGTAGTCCTAACTACAGACTGTATATCTGTTGTAGTCCTAACTATTGTATATCTGTTGTAGTCCTAACCATCTGTTGTAGTCCTAACTGTATATCCACAGATGTATATCTAGTCCTAACTATTGTATATCTGTTGTAGTCCTAACTATTGTATATCTGTTGTAGTCCTAACTACAGACTGTATATCTGTTGTAGTCCTAACTATTGTATATCTGTTGTAGTCCTAACTACAGACTGTATATCTGTTGTAGTCCTAACTACAGATCGTATATCTGTTGTAGTCCTAACTACAGACTGTATATCTGTTGTAGTCCTAACTACAGACTGTATATCTGTTGTAGTCCTAACTATTGTATATCTGTTGTAGTCCTAACTATTGTATATCTGTTGTAGTCCTAACTATTGTATATCTGTTGTAGTCCTAACTACAGATCGTATATCTGTTGTAGTCCTAACTATTGTATATCTGTTGTAGTCCTAACTACAGACTGTATATCTGTTGTAGTCCTAACTATTGTATATCTGTTGTAGTCCTTACTACAGATCGTATATCTGTTGTAGTCCTAACTATTGTATATCTGTTGTAGTCCTAACTATTGTATATCTGTTGTAGTCCTAACTATTGTATATCTGTTGTAGTCCTAACTATTGTATATCTGTTGTAGTCCTAACTACAGACTTATATCTGTATATCTGTTGTAGTCCTAACTACATATCTGTTGTAGTCCTAACTATTGTATATCTGTTGTAGTCCTGTATATCTGTTGTAGTCCTAACTATTGTATATATCTGTTGTAGTCCTAACTACAGTCCTAACTATTGTATATCTGTTGTAGTCCTAACTATATCTGTTGTAGTCCTAACTACAGATTGTATATCTGTTGTAGTCCTAACTACAGATTGTATATCTGTTGTAGTCCTAACTACAGATTGTATATCTGTTGTAGTCCTAACTATTGTATATCTGTTGTAGTCCTAACTATTGTATATCTGTTGTAGTCCTAACTACAGATTGTATATCTGTTGTAGTCCTAACTACAGATTGTATATCTGTTGTAGTCCTAACTACAGACTGTATATCTGTTGTAGTCCTAACTACAGTTGTAGTCCTATTGTATATCTCTGTTGTAGTCCTAACCACAGATTGTATATCTGTTGTAGTCCTAACTATTGTATATCTGTTGTAGTACTAACTACAGTCTGTATATCTGTTGTAGTCCTAACTACAGACTGTATATCTGTTGTAGTCCTAACTACAGACTGTATATCTGTTGTAGTCCTAACTACAGATTGTATATCTGTTGTAGTCCTAACTACAGACTGTATATCTGTTGTAGTCCTAACTATTGTATACCTGTTGTAGTCCTAACTACAAATTGTATATCTGTTGTAGTCCTAACTACAGATTGTATATCTGTTGTAGTCCTAACTACAGATCGTATATCTGTTGTAGTCCTAACTATTGTATATCTCTTGTAGTCCTAACTACAAATTGTATATCTGTTGTAGTCCTAACTACAGATTGTATATCTGTTGTAGTCCTAACTACAGATTGTATATCTGTTGTAGTCCTAACTACAGATTGTATATCTGTTGTAGTCCTAACTACAGATCGTATATCTGTTGTAGTCCTAACTACAGACTGTATATCTGTTGTAGTCCTAACTACAGATATATCTGTATATCCTAACTATTGTATATCTGTTGTAGTCCTAACTATTGTATATCTGTTGTAGTCCTAACTACAGACTGTATATCTGTTGTAGTCCTTACTATTGTATATCTGCTGTAGTCCTAACTATTGTATATCTGTTGTAGTCCTAACTACAGACTGTATATCTGTTGTAGTCCTAACTATTGTATATCTGTTGTAGTCCTAACTATTGTATATCTGTTGTAGTCCTAACTATTGTATATCTGTTGTAGTCCTAACTACAGACTGTATATCTGTTGTAGTCCTAACTATTGTATATCTGTTGTAGTCCTAACTACAGACTGTATATCTGTTGTAGTCCTAACTATTGTATATCTGTTGTAGTCCTAACTATTGTATATCTGTTGTAGTCCTAACTACAGACTGTATATCTGTTGTAGTCCTAACTATTGTATATCTGTTGTAGTCCTAACTACAGATCGTATATCTGTTGTAGTCCTAACTACAGATTGTATATCTGTTGTAGTCCTAACTACAGATCGTATACCTGTTGTAGTCCTAACTACAGATTGTATATCTCTTGTAGTCCTAACTACAGACTGTATATCTGTTGTAGTCCTAACTACAGATTGTATATCTGTTGTAGTCCTAACTACAGATCGTATATCTGTTGTAGCATGGAGCAGCAGTATTCTTATACCATCCATGTGTAGATCATCGTCAGCTTGATGTCTTCCGGTCATTAGCGACATCCTGCCTCAGACGTCACATTATTACTCCGTACAACCTGACTCAGGACAAGGTATGTATTGTCTAGGTCAATGACGTCATAACATCACTCCGTACAACCTGACCCAGGACAAGGTATGTATTGTCTAGGTCAATGACGTCATAACATCACTCCGTACAACCTGACTCAGGACAAGGTATGTATTGTCTAGGTCAATGACGTCATAACATCACTCCGTACAGCCAGACTCAGGACAAGGTATGTATTGTTTAGGTCAATGACGTCATAACATCACTCCGTACAACCTGACTCAGGACAAGGTATATATTGTCTAGGTCAATGACGTCACATCATTACTCCGTACAACTTGACTCAGGAAAAGATATGTATTGTCTGCGTCAGTGACTTTATAACATCGCTCAGTACAACCTAACTCAAGAAAAGGTAGGTATTCTCTTGGTCAGTGACGACATAACATCACTCCTACAACCTAACTTGCTCTAAACCAACCCGATGCGTAAAACATGAATGCTATCAACAATGCATGTTTACTTGTAAAGTTCTAACAAAACACATCACTAATTATATCACCGATAAAAGAGATTTAAGCACACGCAGACGATAAACTCATTGAATAGGAAGGTCATTCTACAAAAATTTGTTAATTTCTAATAAAAGTTATATTGCCAGCAACAACATTGTTAATATTTAAGGCTATTAGGATCTAGAGAGTTTGAATGAAGTACGAGAAAATGTGTAGGGATCCCATAGGAACATGGCTAACATGGTTACTTACTCTGTTTGACAGCCGTTTGCCATACTGACGTGGACATGTCGGATGATGTTGGACAGAGTGGACATCCATATCCCTGCGGCAGTCGACTTCCTTCGGGTAATTAGACCAAAAACCTGATGTTACTATCTACTGAATTATTCTAACACCGGAAATTTCATAAGATTTACTCTATTGAGAATATCTTGGATTTTAGCAAGTGTATGATTATCATAAGGAACTAGATGTAGACACGTGTATGGTTATCATAAGGAACTATATTTAGACATGTGTATGGTTATCATAAGGAACTATATTTAGATATGTGTATGGTTATCATAAGGAACTATATTCAGACATGTGTATGGTTATCATAAGGAACTTGATTTAGACACGTGTATGATTATCATATAGAACTAGATGTTGACACGTGTATGATTATCATATAGAACTAGATTTAGACAAGTGTATGGTTATCATAAGGAACTTGATTTAGACACGTGTATGGTTATCATAAGGAATTATATTTTGACACGTGTATGGTTATCATAAGGAACTTGATTTAGACAAGTGTATGGTTATCATAAGGAATTATATTTTGACACGTGTATGGTTATCATAAGGAACTTGATTTAGACAAGTGTATGGTTATCATAAGGAACTTGATTTAGACATGTGTATGATTATCATATAGAACTATATTTAGACAAGTGTATGGTTATCATAAGGAACTTGATTTAGACAAGTGTATGGTTATCATAAGGAACTTGATTTAGACACGTGTATGATTATCATATAGAACTAGATTTAGACATGTGTATGGTTATCATAAGGAACTTGATTTAGACACGTGTATGATTATCATATAGAACTAGATTTAGACATGTGTATGGTTATCATAAGGAACTATATTTTGACACGTGTATATATTTGTCAGATATTGCTGTGTGTTGATGTAATTTGTCAGATATTGCTGTGTGTTGATGTAATTTGTCAGATATTGCTGTGTGTTGATGTAATTTCAGCTGTGTGTTGATATTGCTGTGTGTTGATGTAATTTGTCAGATATTGCTGTGTGTTGATGTAATTTGTCAGATATTGCTGTGTGTTGATGTAATTTGTCAGATATTGCTGTGTGTTGATGTAATTTGTCAGATATTGCTGTGTGTTGATGTAATTTGTCAGATATTGCTGTGTGTTGATGTAATTTGTCAGATATTGCTGTGTGTTGATGTAATTTGTCAGATATTGCTGTGTGTTGATGTAATTTGTTGATGTAATTTGTCAGATATTGCTGGAAGTTGATGTAATTTGTCAGATATTGCTGTGTGTTGATGTAATTTGTCAGATATTGCTGTGTGTTGATGTAATTTGTCAGATATTGCTATATATTGATGGTTGAGGTATAGCGTCAATGTTACTGGTATTCTTGAGATATTGTGATATCGTTCATGAACCGTTCGGACTCAGTAACTTCATGAGAACAGTCATTCGAGAGGGAGGGGGTGTCAAATGACTGAATTTAAATTGACATTTTTAGTATATCTGTAAACACTTAGTTATGTGTTGTTTTTTTTTTTATCAGTTTTGTGTTTCATGTACAACGTGTGATGTATTACTTTTTAGGACAAGGCTTTGCAGACCTACGAAAGCAATGTGTATCAAGATGGCGACTACAAATTTCTTCTCAAGAAAATTGCCAAAACCGTGACAGACAAACAAGATTATGTTGTGTGTCCATAATTAATTTCGTAATTCTCAAGTTATTTCTACAATGATGGCGTTGTCTTTGACGTTCACAAAGTATTACATGACAGAAATTGTTTGGCTTTGAATTCTGGACAAGTGAATTAGCCTAATATTAAGTATGCTGAGATAATATTAACATCAAAAACGCAACTGTTCTTTGTAATTTGGTCACGTGACTACCGTATTTTGATAATGTAACCTTAAAAATACATAAATAAATTCTAAGGTATCGCAATCAATACAAAGTGTTTTCTCGTTGATCCATTTAGACATATCCGCGGTAAACACTATAGGCGAGTGTCTGAAGTATGATCAATATTCAATGGTGATATTCTGAAAAATACAGGAAGTGTAGTAACGGTGACCTTGATACTACAATCCTAAAACTCGACCTTGTCTGTGATATTCTGGCTCCTTATACGACTGAAGTTTGATCGAAATTCCCACATGAATGAAGCCATTACAATGCGGACAGATTTCCCTAAATTCAAAAAAAGTAATGCTGACCTTGCAACAATGAAAGCCAAACCTATCTGAGATTTTATAGTCCCATACATGTGTGTGAAGTTATGTCAATATTCCTATTCCTGATATAAAATGGAGTCAGTAGATTGCTGACACTGATTTCATGAAAACATGTGATATTGATCTTAACCCTATCAGTCTGAAACTGGAACTTTTTTTATATGTTATGGTCTGTTATAAGTATGTTTGATAAAACAAAATAGAAACCGCTAGAGCTCTAACAATGATAAATGTTACGTCAATACATAGGAGAACTTACTCCCTCCTCAACATTTGTTACAAGGGAATAATACACAACACACGTACATGTTTTTAAATTGACCCCAGAATGTCTTCATTTGTTCAACATAGCCATATTAAATCCTGTTTATAACCGTTTGGACCTCCTCCGAAAAATCACGGGACTGTTACAGCCATATTAAATCCTGTTTATAAACGATTGGACCTCCTCCAAGAAGTCATGTAACGCTGCATACAAACCTACTACATGGCGTATAGGGAATACGTGTACTAGTAATAATCTCGTGTTAAAACCAAAATGCATGATCCAATCTCCAATAGATTCATAGAAAAACAAGTATACTGTCCCCTAGTTCTAAAATAACGGTTATGTAACGCGGTTTTTTAATTGAATATTTTTCAGGATCTTATCCCCGATATACTCATGAATTGCCTAGTCGTTGTCATGATAAATATGCTGACTTTAGCCTAGATATGGCGGTCATCTTTCTAGTAGAGGCAGCTGTTCGACATCGACATTTATTATAACGACATGCTCAAATGCGTCATCGAAATGTGAAGTGCGGAATACGATAATAGTGATCTGTGTGGCATACTCGATCAACTTTTTCTCAACTTCAAGTGAATTTGTCGGCAATTTCAGAATGTCGATAAAACTGTAAGTGATATTCTCAATCCAGGGAACAACTTCAGTGAATAATATCACAGCTAAATGAGATCTTCTCACATCATATTGTGTCCAACTTTTACTGGATAATTCTAAAGAGAATGATAACTTAGGAAACATGCTAACAATTTCTTCTCCCATTACGAAAGAAAAGTAGCACGTTATAGTGGAGCTAAGTTTGATTTTTTAACAACAGACTCGACGATAATGACTGGTTAGATTTGTTTTCAACAACGCATTTCCCTGACGATATGTGTGACATTTTTAAAGATAAATACTTTGTTTTTGCTGGGGAGTGCATACCGACAAAAACTGTTACAATTCGACCGAATGACAAGCCCTGGTTCAATTCAGACTTACGACGAGAAATTAGCAATAGACCACTTCATAATTTAAAATTAATCGTTCTCCAGGCAATGTGACTAAATTCCGGAAACGACATAAACATGTTAATAATCTAAAACGTATTAAAGAAAACTTCTATGCAGACATATATGTTATTTTATATCGTTATTCTGATTCGAACCCCAGAAACGTTTGGAAAAATGTCCGTAGATAACTAAACACGTCTGACACAACCAATACTATACCTCCCCTTCTTAACAATTTTGTAATCTTGAAATGACAGATGACGGTAAAGCCAATATTCGAAATGATGACTTTGTTTCCATCTCTACTATTGACGATATGGACATTGACATACCAGTAGTAGAGTTAAAGACGGACGCTACTTTAACAGACATACCTTTTCAATTAGACGACATTCCTGACATTCTTAAATCATTACATACTAGCAAAGCCGTAAGTAGTGATACACTTTGTCAGATTATATTAAAAAGTACCACAGAATCTATTATTATTATTATCTTTATTTCCTCCAAATATGAAGATTTACAAAGACAACTATATAAACAGCAATAAATTACATAAATTTACACACGTACACACCAACACGCACATACATATATATACAGTTACAATATGTTTTGATAGTTAATTAGAGGTATTTCACTACTTTCAACACAATTTCAGGATATAGGGTTTTGGTACTTATATGTACCAGAAAAAACAGATTTTAGCCCTAGTAATGCCGTTATTTAAAAAAGGGGATAAACGTGAATTTTGTAACTACAGACCTACAGTGCTACTTAGTGCTCTTGGTAAAATTTTTTAACATTTAGTTGTAAAATATCTAAATAACTATTTACTTGATAATTCATTAATTTACAAATACCAATTAAATTTCCAGTCTGGTCATTCTACTGTCCATCAAATTAAAGAAATATATCATACATTGTGCGAAAATATTGGAAAATGCCGTTGACATGGTTTTTTTGGGGTTTTTTTATAAATTCCAAAGTGTTCGATCGTGTGTGGCTCAAGGGACTGAATGTAAGATTAGCAAATTATTGTATCAGTCAAAAACTACTGGAATGGTTAAATAAATATATCAGTAATAGAAAGCAATAAGTCTTTGTAGGAAATAGTACGTCTTCCGTTAAATCTATAAATGCATATGTTCCACAAGGCTCGGTGTTGGGTCCATTACTGTCTGTTATATATTAACGCTACAGCTGATAAGTTCGAAAGTCTCCCTAAACTGTTTACCGACGAGATACTTCATTATTATTCCGGAACTTCAATTTTGACCAAAGTAACTAAAATTAATAAAGATCTTTAAAATTTACAATTGGACAGAAAAATGACCCATTAAATTTAATCCCTTGAAACGGAAGCGTCAGTTATTTCAAACATTGAATTTAATAATGTTAATCTTGACTTTGCTTGTGATCATAAGCGTCTAGGAGTATTTTTAGACGAAAATTGTAAATGGTGTCGACACATAGAAAATATTTGTAACAATGCATCAAAACAGGTTAGTATTCTCCGCAAAACTTAAATACATGTTGAATAGACAATCTTTAATCAAAATCTATAAACCATACATACTTTCATTATTAGAATATTGATGTGAAGTTTGGGGTGGTTGTTCTCTCATGACGCGGACAAACCGGAAAAACTTCAGTTAGAATCCGTTCGAATTATTACAGGTTTACCAGCATATAGAAGCAGAGAACTGTCTATATCGAAAGTGGTTTAGAACCTCTATCAGACCGACGCTTCAGCCAAAAAAAAATTGTGTGTCCTCTTTATTGTCTCCTTTAGTATCAGAAAACTCACAAAATAACCTCCGCGATGCACAAAACGTTTTGCCAAATATCCGACTACAACTAACGAACTTATCTTTTTCCCTTCTATTATCTGACTTTGGAACCACCTTATGACCATGAAATTAGACGTAGTGTTACTTATTCAGTTTTTAAATTTTTTTATTCGAACCCCCGTACTAGTTACTTATTATTTGATTGGTACACGGCAAGCTACTGCATGCCCGACTTAGAAGTAATTCTAGTACTTTAAACAATGGCCTTTTCAGATCCAGTTTAATAGATTACCGTCATTGCCAATGCTGACATTCTATTGAAGACACTTACCATCACTTCTTCGCTTGTAATTATCCGGACCAGACAGTAATTCTATACAGAAAAGTAAATGATTTTAACCCATTAGACCTGCAGTTACTACTTCTTGGTATTGATAGTTACTTGAATGAAGATATTGTCAAAACATGGCAAATCACTTAGCAACATATACTTAACTCTAACAGAGTTTGATATCTCTCTCCTTCTCTATCTCTCCGAACGAGGGAGACAGTAAGATGGAAGAGATTTGAAAGTCACTTGATAATTAAAAAAGCTGTATTTTAATGAACACGCTGAGTGAATATATAAAAGAATAATCTCACTACCTTACCTCCTAAAAAATAATTAGATGTACGTTAAACGATTAAAGTCTGTCTGTGAAAATGTTCGTGTATATCGTCGAATCTTTCGAGAAACACACTTCAAACGTTTTCGTGGGTATTCACTTCCGGTTACGGATGGCAATCTTAATTATAGATTCGGTAATCAAATATCCGGATTATGATACTTTCTCTCATTTCCACTTGTGTCAGATAGGCCTGTCCAGGGCAATAAACATGGTCATGATAGACGTTTATTACACAGGCGCCTGTGTACTAAAGCCTCGCGCGCGGAGTAATTCATAGTTTTTTCCCGCGCACTCATAGACTATGTCCTCGTCAACCGCTTCATCCACAAACACGCATAGTCGATTGGAGTCATTGTTTGCAGGCTCGTATTAACAAAACTGTTCTATAAATATCAACATCACCAACCCTGGGACTCAGCCTTTCCGCCGTCGTCAACGTGTGATTGAATGTGACAGTGACTAACTTTCCTTCTGTCGGTATGGCGCGAAATGTGTGACGTAAGTGACGTCATCTCACAAGCAAAGCAAGAATCCCATTCATAAATGTGTAAGATTTGTAAGATTACTATTGGCAGTGAAGTAGTATTAATAACTTGACCAACATGTTCAAAGATGTAAAAAGTGTTTATGATATATTATACATTGAGCAATAGTAAATATTAAAAAGAAAAGTGTTGTTTTATTGCGTGTTTTAAGGCACTATATTTGAACGCGTACGCATGTCTCTGGGTGATATATTTGACAGGGTATTTGACCCAGCCAGCTTGAAGCATATCAGAATATTTTTGACGTTCGTGCAGAGTTACCTCCCCGCACGGAGCTTTCCTACTTGATTTTATTTTTATGTAAGCATGGCGGGTATTACGCGCACCTCACGGAAAGAAATTGCTTACAGGGGAACTGTGGTGAGTTCTTATGCGTAAGTAAT